AGCTGGAGCTGGTGTTGAGCCCTGACCTCCACCCCCACCCCCCTAGGTGTACACATCTGGGAAAGGCAGCAGCGCAGCTGGCCTGACAGCCTCGGTGATGAGGGACCCATCATCCCGGAACTTCATCATGGAGGGCGGAGCCATGGTCCTGGCTGATGGTGGAGTTGTCTGCATTGACGAGTTTGACAAGGTGAGTCTAAGGTGAGCTTATGATCTCGTGGCTGAAAAGTGGATGGCACCTCTAGTCGTGGGACGGTTGTGTGACCTCCTGTGCTCGGCCAGCAGAAAACACCTCTTAGACTTGTATTCAATCCCTGGGCCTGTCACATTGAGAAGTTAACATTGAGAAGTTGCTTAACTTTTCTGAGACTCAGTTTCTCTATCTGGAGAGTGGGGAGAGGAGAGCCAGGCCCATGTGGTTGTCACCATGATTAGAGGTGACCCTGTTCCTGCCATCGGCCTTGGGAATGGTAGCTCCTGCTGGTTTTCCTGCTACCTCCACCTGGGTGGGTCTGATGGACATTTCTCTCCTCCACTTAGATGCGAGAAGATGACCGCGTGGCAATCCATGAAGCCATGGAGCAGCAGACCATCTCTATTGCCAAGGTGAGGGCCCTCCTTGGCCAGTCCATGCTGCGCAGCCCTGCCTAGCCCAGCCTTCCTTAGGCTGCTCTGATCGGCTGTGGCTGAGTCCCAACAGCCCAGGCCTAGAACCTTGTGTGTGCACACATGTGTGCATGTGTGCATGTGTGTGGCTGGGGGGAGGGGGCATGTCACGGTGTTCTTCATCATCTCCCCCTTCCTCCTCTGTCCCCTCTCAGGCTGGGATCACCACTACCCTGAACTCTCGCTGCTCTGTCCTGGCTGCTGCCAACTCTGTGTTCGGCCGCTGGGATGAGACGAAGGGAGAGGACAACATCGACTTCATGCCTACCATCCTGTCACGCTTCGACATGATCTTCATCGTCAAGGACGAGCACAATGAGGAGAGGGACATGGTGCGTCCAGGGGCAGGCTGGCGGCCACAGGGCCTGGTTTCAGGAAGGTGCCTGGCTCCAGGGTGAACAAGGCGCTCGGCCGGTGAGGGCTGGCCTGGCAGATGGGCCATGATATGGGAGCACGTGGGATGGAGTTCATTGTGGGCTGCAGAGCATTGAAACAAGGTCTGGGGTCCTGTGGCCTGGCCTGCCTCTGCTGTGACTGATGCGTCGTGTGATTTGAGTTAATCACTCTCCCAGGTCCTCAGTCCCTTGTGTATGAAATGGAGGAGTTGACATTGGGTTACGTGTAATAGATAGAACCCCAGATCTGGTTAGTAAGTTTCTGAAAGAAAAAAATGTACTGGCTTATAGAATTAACAAGTCCAGGGCCGGCCTGTGGCTCACTCGGTAGAGTGCGGTGCTGATAACACCAAGGCCACGGG